TTGTGACATGAAAGCTCTCAGACCATCCAATCCATACGCTTGTCATCAGGTAATTTTTTCTTACTCTACTAATTTTAGGAGTAGATTTCAGGGCTCTTTATTTTGATTTTTAGTTTCTAGTTAGTAGTCTATGAGCTTATTACAGCATTAAAACTGTTTGATTGCTAAATGCAAAAATACTCCAATATGAAATGCTCTTACTCGGATCGTTATGAATTGCTTTTGCAGGAGTTGATATAAACATCCAAATGTCACCAACACTAATAGTAGTAACAGTAATCGTATTAGCATTAGGCAGATAAAGTTCATAGTGGAAATCAAAATGGACCCAAAGATTTTGGTGCCGTACATGAACAGCAAGGACTGTTCCCAAGGTTTTTGCAGCATATACTGCCCGCAATGGTGTTATATCATCTTTCCTCCTCCTCCTCCATCGTTTGAATTCTCTAATGACAATCCAAGTCCCAATTTATCCCCTCTAGTTATCACGATCATCGGAATTTTGGCCAGTGCTTTCCTCCTGGTAAGTTATTATGCTATAATATCCAACTACTGTGGGGATGTGGACTCATCAAACCATGAGCCAAGCCAGGATTTAGAAGAGAACAATCATAGCCCTTCATCATCTCTCCATCAGCCATGGCAGCCTGCAAATACTGGCGTAGATGAGGCTATCATTAAATCCATTACGCTGTGCAAGTACAGAAAGGGAGATGGTCTGATTGAAGGAACAGAGTGCTCTGTTTGTCTCAGCGAATTCGAAGAAGACGAAAACTTAAGACTGATGCCGAAGTGCAATCATGCTTTCCATGTGCAGTGTATTGATACATGGCTTAAATCTCACTCCAATTGCCCTCTTTGTCGCGCTAATATAATCTTACTTGCTGCTTCACCATCTCGGTTTCCTACTCAAAATGAAACTAATACTGAAGGCAATGATGGAAGGCATGTGAATATAATAGAGGAAATAGAAGTAGTACGTGTTTATCGTGATGTTGGTCCATTGCCAAAGACACCAGTAATCGGTTTTAGCAACTCGGGGAGTTTGCAGAATAGAAATCACACAATAATTGAGATAAGATCAGAAGGAGAATGTGAAAAGGTTACAAGATGATTTTCTATGGATCATTCAGGCCAAAGCAACAAAGTTGAAGATATTGCAGTGGTTGAAGAATATAGTGGTACTATTGCCGGACCATCAAACCAAACAAGTAGAGAAGCATGTAATCTGGTCACGAAAAATGAGTACCGCTCTGCGTAGCGAGCCCGCATGTCTATGAAGAGATCGTTTTCCGGTGGGACATTTTTATGCTGCTAGTTTTGCAAGAAACAGTCTTGAATTCTACTTTATGCTTTCTTTTTGCATCCTAAACCTTTGAGGTTAGTAAATACTAGTAACTAGAGTATAATTGTCAACTAAAAGATGAGAAGTCTATCCCTTAGATATATACATAATTACATACAGATATACATATATAAATGTCTTGGAGTCATATTTAATTTTGTTTGCAAACTTGCTGCAATATTTAGCAGCAAGTCCTCTGCAGTCATCATCGATGCTCGTTGATGCAACACGAAAATGAAAAGGGTATAATTTTATTTCGTTATGAGTTAGACTTCAATGTTAATTACAATGTTCAAGTAGACTTTTATATGCAAAGATTTGTTACAAATAATCACTCACGAACAGATGTAGCAGTGTAGATAGATAATTTGTATTTATCTATATCAATTATAGCATCAAACAGTTTGTAGAAAAATATTGACCAATTAAGATATTAAAGGTGATTAAAATCAAGGTTAATCACAGATAATCATGTACCGTTTTTAGTCCAAGAAAGATGAATTTGGGGTTTGCAGGAAATGACTGGCAACCAACAAAGATTCTCATTTTATACATTGAAAGTTTTCTTGCATTCCACATTATGCATCCCAAACAAGTATTTGGATAATCGTATGTATATGATTTATATGACTTACCCTCTTACATATGTGCTATAGATATGTTTCATATAAAGTGTAAGTAATATACGATGATTTTTTAGTTATAGTTGCTGATTTTTTCTTTAAACAGAAATATATATATTTTATTAATTATGTGATATAAACATACCATTATAACATAATATTTTGTAAAGAACACATGAAAATATACAACATAACTCGAATTTATAATATTTTATAAAAAGAAAAATATATCAACCATCTAACTACAAATTCTCTTTACATATCACAAGGGATGTTCTACATGTAAGCATCTAGAACCTCCTCTTTTTCCTACATCTTTACATAATTTTCTTGTACCACCTTCTTGTATATATATATATATATATATATATTTTTATATATATATATATATTTTTTATCACATTTTAAAATTCTCTAGAGAATTCTAGATTTTTTTTTTTATAATCTTTAAAATAATAAATAAAAAAGATAGTTATTAGTTTAACATGCTTCAACTTCATACTTACAAGAGGCTAACATACTTCAAATAATTGACCTCACATTTTCATAAGCCTTCCCTTCTGGTTTTCAACTAAAGTATGCAGATCTTAAGGCTGGTGTTCAAACAAAATCCCATCTCATTCATACTCCAAATGCAACATGTATAAACATATGAAGATTGAAAAAAATAAGACCAGGCTTCCTAAATTACACAAAGCAAATAAGAATTAAAATATTAATTGTAACACCCCCAATTTTTTTTTTTCAGGATTAAATATTAATAAATATAAATTTTTTATTATTTTATTTTGTATTATTATATTATATTTTATTTTACTTAGAGTAAAAAATGGAATAAAATGTAAGGAGGATTTAATTGAAAATAATTTTAGGGAAAAAGGGTGAAAATTTAGTTTCTGAAAGTATTTTTGAAAGAAAAATCAAAAAATATGGGCCAAAACGTAATTTTAGAAAGTTTTACCACATCAGATGCTGGGTCAGCAACCCTGACCAACGCTAAGTGGCAGAGGTGCTGACGTAGGAGGCCACGCGGGAGAGGGCCACGTGGGTGATCCGCATTTCAGAAATACTGTAATGAAAGGAACATAGGAGTTTGTCGCTAGGTATTTGACCAAATAGGATCGTCCGGTTCCTATAGAACCTATCACTAAAATACCCCTAGAGGGGGATAGGGCTAAGCGGAGCGAAAAGGGTTTTCCATGAGACGGGAAATGAAAACTATTAGCCCCACACGAAGTTTGTGAATAAGTGATTGTCTGATAATGAGCAAGGAATATCCGCGCGCGATCGAACGACTGAGGTCCGTTCCTGCGCGCACGGACGACCTGGATGCGCTCCCTCCCGAACGAAATTGAACGGCCAGATTCAAAAGTGATCGGACGGTCCAGAGTGAATCGCGATGGACGGTCCAGATTAGATCGCGATGAACGGTCCAAATTCACTCTCTATTTAATTGCGATCAGACAATCCAGATGAAACGTGATGGACGACCCAGATCAAAAGTTGATATATATAAATAACCTCCATCCGCACCAAACCCTAACCCTAGTTGCCAGAACCCCTCGTCGGAGAAGATGACCCAGTCGCCACCGCACCGGAACCCTTTTCGACCGCCAAAAAAAGGTAAAAACTTCTCCTTTTGCACGAAATTTAATTTTAAGTTCACCCATGCCAAATCGGAGTGAAAAGACTAACCAATTGGCCGAAAAACACCGGCGAGGCCAGGTGCCGTCGCCACAAAAAATTTCACAAACTGCCTCTGATGAGACCCTTCTCAATTCCCGTTTCGCATAATTTTTCAACTGTTAAGATCACCGTTTTCTTCTCTACAGCTTGACCGAAGCGAAACACCCAACCGCAACGTGAGCCGGAAGAGCCGCCGCACCGGAGAGCCTCGTCGTCGGTGAGTTTTAGTTTTTCGTATTTTTTCGGCCAACTGAGGCCCTTTAATGTGTTTACTCATAGAAATCGATGCAAAATCAGCCGAAAACGGTCGACCCAAGGAGGACCACCGCTTGGGCAGTAGCGCCGTCGCCAGAGCACGGTGGAGTCACCGTGTCGGATTTTTAAAATTGACCGAGTGGGCCTAGAACTGACTTTGGATTTATTTAAAATATTTGTAGGTATTATAAGCGTGTTTTAGTTTCCGGAGAAAAAATTCAGGGAACCAAGGGACTGCCCGTAGACTTAATAAACCGTTTAACTTTTTGGCATTAAATCGAGTAAGGATCTCTCATCCTATTCTCTATCATAGAACTGAAGTTTAAATAAATAATAATACGGTATTTTGTATAAATTAAATAGATGTGCATAATTAATGATAGATTGCTAATGGAGCCCAAACCGGACATTATTCTCTGTTGATTTATTTTACAGTATAAAAGTATGATAGTATCTGATTTATCTATTTTATGATTTAAACGCATGTATTGCTGTCTTACCTGACTATTGTTTGATTTGGGATT